CCCAGCACCGCTCAGCACCGCCCCAGCATCTCCCCAGCACCGTCCCAGTATCACCCCAGCACCGCCCAACATCGCCCAGCATCGCCCCCAACATCGCTCCCAGCATCGCTCAGCACCGCCCCAGTATCACCCCAGCACCGTCCCAGTACCGTCCCAGCACCGCGGGGCCGCGCAGTGCGGGCCCAGCTGGCTCAGCTCGGGCGCTGGTCCCGGTGCTCAGGGCTGTGTCCCGGTCCGCAGAGCTGTGTCCCGCACCGCAGGGCTGTGTCCCGGTGCTCAGAGCTGTGTCCCGGTGCTCAGAGCTGTGTCCCGGTCCGCAGAGCCTGCGCTGACACCGCTGAGGCTCTGCCTGCAGCTCGGGCTGTCCTCGCTCCAGCCACAGCCCCGCACTGCCCCTGGGGAGCCCTAGGGAAAGGTCCCTGCCGCGGGAGCCCGAGGAGCTTCCTTCTAGTCCAGGAATCTCATATGCTACCGACTCTGTGGATGAAGTCTCCAACCCAACCCAGAAATAACCGTAAACCCAGAATTCCATCCCAGAATATTCAGAGTTGGAAGGGATCCAGGAGGAACATCGAGTCCAACTTGACCTCTGTCAGGCTTGGGGCTGTGACCACTTCCCTGGGGAGCTGTTCCAGTGCCCAACCACCCGGAGTGAAGAACATTTTTCTAGTATCTAACCTAAACCTCCCCTGACACAACTTCAAGCCATTCCCTCAGACCCTGTCACTGGGTGCCAGACTGGTGCCTGCCCCATCACTTCCCCTCCTGAGTAAGTTATATACAGCAGTGAGGTCTCCCCTCAGTCTCCTCCAGGCTGAACAGACCAAGTGACCTCAGGCACTCATATGGCTTCCCCTCAAGGTCCTTCACCATCTTTGTTGCTCTCTTTTGGACACCCTCTAATGGCTTAATATCTTTCTTGTATTGTGGTACCCAAAACCAGTGGCCTACTTAAGCAGCTACCATCACGGGAGACACTCTGTTCCTCTGTGCAACCATCATTATAAAGCAAAACTTTTGAGACATACATAAAACTCTGGATATGTCTTAAATCCCCCAAAAGAACACAGCTCAAATATTCTAAAGAAAGCCGAGCCCTCATACTCAACTCAGCCTGCAAAACCAGCATCTGAAAATAGCCCATCGGGAAACTAAATTTTCAAAACCTATGGGTTTTGTTCAGTCATAAGGCTGCAGGCTTTGGGAAATTAAACAGTAGAAGTCACAGTGACTGCACAGGCTTATGAGAAGAGATCTCACCTCCAGGATTACTTTGCTAAGCAGGAGCTGCAACTCTGATCCATCACTTACCTACTTTCCTGAAGACCTTTGCTAAGTGTAGGGTCATCATTCCCAGGTCAAATGAAAAGGAAACAACGAGCTATAAAACACATTTTATTGAATGAACAAAAGTCTAAAAGTCTCCCGGTTTTGGTTAACAAAAGCAGCAACCTACAAAACCCCTGCATTCCATGACAAATTTTTTTATGTCAAAAAATTAATCCTTGTGCAGGTATGAACATTTTTACACAGAACAATACAACTGTTGAGACGTGCCTGGGCAAAGAACCGAACAAATTTCAAATCAGGAAAAAAAAACCCAAGAAAATAAAATAGAGACTGCACATGGACACCTGAAAAAGCTTGAATTGTTTGCTGGCCGAGAGGTATATCCATTGGGGCTGCCAGCAGTTTTCGGCACTTGCACCCCCTTCATACAAAATGAAAAGAGCAGCAGAAAAATGACAGAGGTTTTAAGACTGAATAAGGAAAAGAACTGCCAACAGAACGCAGTGTTCAGCTAGCTCATTTGGCTAATGCAGCTTTTTAATACTGAAATTCACAAGCTTGTGTTAAGTGAGTCCACGCTCTCAAGAGGCTCCAGGATAAGAATTCAGCCACTATACCCACAGAACAAAAGCAATAGAGAAGGTCCATCCTCAAACAGGCAACTCCTCACAGTCTAAAACAGGCAACCAGGTAAGGGAAGTGAAACTGACACCTGGCTTGACAAGATATGATTATCTGACTGACAGAAGTCTACTGGGAACTACATGGAGAATGTACATTCACTGTGTAAATATGACTAGGTTTTCTAAACTATGTGACTTTTTTTCCTTTTCACTGGATATGGGCAGCCTTAATAAAATGAAGTGTTAAAAAGGAAGGCAATGTTTGCTTGTATCCTTACACCATTTGCAGAATAGTCCTTTTTTATAAAGTCATATCATAATTTTTCATGCTTTTGAACACCAAGTATTTTCAATGAAGTTGGCTTATTACATTGACTAATTTCAATCTGCTTTGTTTTAACAGATCAGGACATAGTACAATTATTTCAAAAAGAAATGATTGATTTTGCGGTCATATTTACCTTTGATTTCAAAAGTACAATAATCTGTGCTTATCTGTCAGTTTATACATCAGATCTCATTCATTTCAACCATATCATCAGATTGATTTAATAATTATGAAGCTGTATCTTACACCATAATTTCTATTCATATGTATTCTAGGACTAATAGATCCCTAATATGTCTTGATTAAAACTAACTTTAATATATCAGCTCTATCATCTAAAGTTAATTTTAATCATTACCATCGTAATCATTGTAACTCTGATACCCACTGTTCCTCCTCTCACGAAGATTAGATTTCTTCCACATAGATTCTTGATGAAAACTAGCACTGAAAGATCGACCCAGTCGTCCATGTTGTTTCTTAGAGATATTGTCTTCACTCTCAGACTTGGAAATTCCTTGTCCTTGTGTTTGAGATTGTTTATTCTGTCTAACATTTCCAAGCGGAAAATTCCAAGGACCAAATCTTTGCCAGTTAAGTCTCTGAAAGGCAATGATGCAGTGAAGATTTCCTCCAACCTAATCAAAGTAGAAAGGTTCTTTGTTAAATACACACAGGTGAATTTCTAACATACACAGATATTTGAAATCAACATCAGGGCAGGTAATACAATTCTCTAAGAAAGAAAACAAACAAAAAAATGCAACAACACACAAACCAGAAAAGAAACAAACCAAACCAAACCAAGAAAAAACCATAACCACAAACAAACAACTCAAATCAATCCGTTTTCATTGCTTCCCAGATTCAATTACTGTCTTCTTTCTCACTTTTTAAGTTATCCATTTTATCTTTCATAGGCCACTATCACTTATCTTCTGCTAGTTGTTTTACTCTCTAGCTACCTTCTCAGAAATTATCTGTTCTGGTCCCTTCTGATCTTGCTGACACAGTCTTCCATAGGGTCTTCACATTTGAAATCATCTCTTCCGTCTATTATTTCTCATAGACTTCCAATCTGCAAATCACAAATACATCCTCCACCCAGGAGATACAGCCCTATCTATAGGAAAGAAAGCCACATGCATTGACAATAAGTCTGCACAAGGGAGACACATGCATTCTTTTATGCCCAATCCTACTTGATTGTACTTTGTTTCCCACATAAATGTTGCTAGGTCATGCCCCAAAGGGTCTGTAATTTGTCTGCAGAATATTTCTATACTAGCTGCAGCTACATTTCAAAACAGACAAATTAAATATTGTGACCAATTGTATACAGATATCCTGGTTCATCCTAACAAATGCCAAGCTACTGCTGTTTTGTATCTTGTCCTGCAAGTCAATAAAAAAGACTCCGGCGTGCAAGTACGCACATTTTACTTTCGTCTTCAGCAATACTTCTTAACATAACTAATTTCTTTAGAGAAGTTATCTTACACTGCTGAATATGAACAAGTTAGCAAAAATCTACCAGGAATTTCCTCCCATCTTAGTGAGTACCTTCTTTGTTTTTCGATGCTGCAATCCTCTCTCCAGGTGTCGAATATCTAGATATTCTGGATTTTGAGTGTTTAGGTCAGTGACAATATCTGCCCACCTACAGAATAAAACTATTATGACTCTGATGACATTTATGAAACCTCAGCAGCACTAAGACTCACATACACATGCACACAAATACAGACCTGGAGCTTTAAATAGTCTTACCAGTGATTTAAAGATAAATGAATGAGCAAAGATATAAAAGACTCAGTATTAGAGACATCAAGCTAGATATAAAAGCATCACTTTTAATCAAAGCATTCACAGTGATTATTCCTGCTCTTGGGAAATACCTTTCAAAATGAGTAAGAGTACTATGAGTCATTAGTTACATACCTTCTGCTTACTAATTCACCAGTTTGTGACAGGAAGAAGCAAAGTGTGGTTTAGGCAAGGAGAAACCTTACCTTTTTCTTTATTTAAACCTCTCTTACCCTTTTATATTATCTTGTTCAAGTCATTGTTTGAGGTTTCTTTGCTCACTAAATCTGC